GGGGGAGAAGAAGGGGGAATGGGAGAAGGAGAAGGGGAGGAAAGGGGAGGAGAGGGTGGAAGAGGATGGTGCACGGACCAGCGGAGCATACGTAAATATATATATATAGGGTCACCAGCCTGTACGTATGGAGGTCCCCAGGCCGACCTCCGTACGAGGTCCGAACCCGAAGGCGTTCGGCCCCCGCCAAAAAATATTTCGGGGCTTAAAAACATATATTTTTTTTCTGAATTTTGTTTTTGTGAGTTCTCGATGATGAGAGGTACATGTCTATAAATATTGACGTCATTTGGCTCAGCCAAAAAAGAATAAAAAATCGCCAAAGATGGTGGTGTCAAAACGTGCTCGCCCGCATTTTTTTCACTTTTTACCTAGGCTATCAGCCGGGCCGCCCGGGTCCCGGGTGGCATGCCCGTGCAAGGACCAGGGAAGGTCCCAGCAAAACAAAAAAAAGAAAAAAAAGAAGAAAAAGAAACAGAAGTATGTTATGGCAGTTCTGCAGAAAATTAAACTAAACAACTTGCCTCCAAGGCTGAATACCCGGTCCCACCGGGGCCCCCTACCCCCACCGGAACCGGGCCGGTCGTACCGGCCGGTGGACCGCGCCGGTTCCCTCCCGGTTCCCCTTTGCGCATTTTGATCGCGCGGGGGGTTCAATTTTTTTGGGGGCCGGGAGGCCTCCATGCGGGTCGTGGAGGCCTCCCGGCCCCAAAAAAAAATTAACAGGGTCCGGTAGGCCCGCCAGAATATTGAAAAACTGGCGGTCTATCTGGGCTGTCGATCTGGTGAGATCTGCGGCCCCGATAGGCCGCCCGTTTCTTAACATTCGGGCGGGAAACCACCCGAACATCAGCCAGCCATCCTAACGTTCCCCAGCCACCGCCCCCACCATCCCGCCTCCCGCCTCCCGCCTCCCGCCTCCCGCTGCTTTCGAATATTGAAAAACTGGCGGTCTATCTGGGCCGTCGATCTGGTGAGATTTGCGGCCCCGATAGGCCGCCCGTTTTTTAACATTCAGGCGGGAAACCACCCGAACATCAGCCAGCCATCCTAACGTTCCCCAGCCACCGCCCCCACCACCCCGCCTCCCGCCTCCCGCCTCCCGCTGCTTTCAAGCAGCACAACCCGTCACTTCGTCCGAAGTGAACAAGGTCACTGCTTTGGAGACTGCGTCGCCCCCCGGCCTCGGAATCGGCCC